TTATCTAGATCTCTGATAGATAGATTTTTTTCCATCGAAACCTAAATAGGTGGGACGCCAAATGTATTCGTAAATTTATTACGTTTCGTGGTCCGCTTGACCAAATAAATTCTTTTCAACTCTCAGACCAAACCCCATCATCTACTAAATTCTTTTCAGTTAATTAAGATTTTGGTTGAGATAAAAAGTCAGTGTCACATGCATGATTCGAACCCACGACCTTTGGCTAAATAAGCCGCTGCTCTACCACTATTGTGACTTCGGTTCACTTATCTCAACCAAAACCTTAATTAATTGAAAAGAATTTATTTGGTCAAGCAGTCACGAAACCTAATAAATGTTATAAGCAAAATGAAGTACTATACTTCACTAAAGCTCTCCGTGGCCATTTTATTTGTCGCCGAGAATCAAATAAATTACATGACATTTGAAAAATGGCAGCAAAAAGGAGGGAAAATTCAAAAGGTAGGGTTGAGATGGGAAGTTAGTGTCCGAGTGGATCGAAGTCACGTTAGCTCAAGTGGTAGAGCAGCGGCGTATTTAGCCGAAGGTCGTTGGTTCGAATCCCGCTTGTTACACTGACTTTTTTATCTCAACCAAAATCTTAATAAATTGAAAATGCATTCGTAAATTTTGATAAAAAATAAGGGTCATACCTGCGGTCAACATTTTTATGTATTTATGCTTTTATACACAAGTTGTTTTGAAAAGACAAAATTTATTAATGCTGAGGTAGCTTAGCAACTATCAGTTTAAAGTATATATTGTATAAAAAAGCCGTTCAAATTATCGAATTATGATATCATTACTATTAATATCTGGTATTTCAACTACAGTGGTGGATAGAAAAGGAAAAAGAAATTTTTAAATTTAATGTTTATGCCCCGTGCATGACTCGTTGGTCAGCGGGTTGTCAACACCCCGTTTTATTTTTCGTGTAAATGTTTAAAATGTGACATTAATTCTCTGCCTGCCTTTCATTTCAAAATCCGCCATGTCCTTGGACGTTTCACGGCTGAATTCGCTCCACTGTAACAAGGGCCAATGTTTGGCTTACGTGACGTTTCATAAATCATGCAAAAACTGGGATAAAATTAAGTGACATGACAATTGTTGGAGGGAGAGGTGTTTTTATTCGGCGAAGACCATTTCTGAAAACAAACACGCTATAAAACCGACTGAGATTGGGAACATCTAATTATGGGCTTAATTGCATTTCAACATGGGCCAAAGGCTCTCTTCTTAAATTACGCGTCCTCTGCTTTTCCACCTTTCTCTCCCCTTGTAAAAGGAACTCTATTTCTTCAATTGTTTAAAAATAAAAGGAACTATTGATTTTTTTTTAACCGACAGAATAATTTGTTTTAAAAAATCATTGACATGTCTTATAACGATATGTGAAGAAGTTATGCCAAATGATTCTTTGTGTAAATTATTTATTCAATAATTTATTTGTTATTTTATTTTATTTTTAACTTTTAAGATAAGTAGTGTATTATAAACAACTAAAGATGTAGATTAAAAGTGTCCCGGTCTTCGGGGGTGGGTTTGAGTTCTCCTATTGCACAATTTTTCATCTAAACTTTTATTTAATTACTTATAATTAATGCTCTTATTACTAACTATTAGTCAGATTTCGTAAGCGATTGTAGAGGGGGAAATTTTGGTCCAAACCCTGCTGATATCTCTAATTAAAAAAATTATGGAATCTTCAAAAATAATTGTTGCGAATGGTTCTTTACAAAGAACCTGTTTCGCCATGTGGTCAATGGAACTTCCAGAGCATTTTGAAAATTATTCCAAAAGAGAAACTGTTAAAACACAAGTTTATGATGGACAGCTCAATAAACTTTTTATTTAAAGTCTGAAAAAAAGCGGTATTCTTTGACAAGGGGGATCCGGATTTTCTTTCATCAAGAAAAGCTCCCGGTATTAAATACCTGTAAAATAGAATCGTTTTACAAGTATTTGAATTTCTACTCTTTCTAAACCTGAACGGGAAAGCTAAAATCATAAATACGTAAATATTTTTTATTTATTTTTTGTTAGATATGAATTTCTCACATTGTTTTAAACTGATTGTTGGAATGAGTACCGTGGGCAAAATCATCCCTCACGAATAATCAGTCAGCAGGTTGAACTGTGTAAACTCCCATTCAAAACAGCCCAGTTTCAACAAATGAATTATGACTTGCAGAAAAAATTCAATATTTCAACAACTAAGAAAATTGGATAAAAAAGATTTGTCCAAAAAGGTGTATTTTATTGATTATTTAAGGAGTAATTCTCTTTAATTTATTTCCTGATTCTTAAAATTCTTCTACATCTTAACTCATTTGAGAATGACTACTCTTTTTTTATCGATGCCATTTTATAATCAGTAAACATTATGAATTGCTCAAATTGATTTTAAATTTACAAAAGAATAGATGAAAAGTGGCTTTAATTTATATAAGTCGGTATGATAAGAATTTAAGCAGTATTTCTAAGAAAGGCAATGAATTCTTTGAGATAAGACCAATGCCGGCGTCTTGCAAGGGAGCATTCTTGGAACAGTTTATACTGCTGACCTGCCGATACATCCCAACACCATCATTACCACCTATGCAGTATCGCAATTCTGTCTTGTCACACGAAGCCAATCAAATTTAACCCCCAACATCCAAGAACACCTTGAATTTACAAAAGAAAAAAGTGGAGGGCAAGCCTGAATGTACACAGTGTACTTTTGCAATAACTTAAAACATTATAACATAACAAAAAAATTCTTTCCCTAACAACAAGCTGCTTCCGACATCCACTCAAGTCAGATACCTCGGACTATATTAGGCAGAAGACTGACGTGGAATCCCATACAAGACTTAAAATACAACAACATAACATAAGACTTGGACAACTACGAAGACTTTTAAGACCGAAATCTGTTTGAACGTCAAAACAACCAATTCTGCGCAAGGCATTACTGCGACTACTTTGGACTAACGTAGGGGAAATGTTGGGTTCTGCCAAGCCATCCAATATTCAGCGCAATCCTTCCAATGAACAATCCTCAGACAAATTGTCAAAGCGCCTTCACATCACTAACGACCTCAACGTTCCTTTTGTCAACGAACTGTTCCGTCACCCGTTCCAAAAGTTTCACACCAACGTCTCGATCTATCCTAACCCTACTGCACCTCTCTCTACCCATTCCCATCCCAGGAACCCGCCACTGCCTTAATCGACGATGGCTTCGCTCCCCCTTGCCCTTTAATCCTTCACCCGATAATAAACTGAGTGTCAGAATTGGCTGCCTTCTCATAAAACTCCGGTGCAGTAGTCCGTAGTGCTCGTGTTTTGCCCGGGATTTTACAGCATTAAGTACAATGTATGTTTTTTTAGTGACCGGTTGTCTAATAATTATTTTGATTCGTGAAGAGCAGTCAAGAATGAGGTAGTTTAGAAAAACACCTTTTTCAATTTTTTTCGATGTTTCGACCTTTATTTTGGGTCTTCTTCAGAGCCTGGGTGAATTACAAAACATATGTAGATTGGAAAAATTACAATAAAGATGAAAATGTAAACTTTGAACCAAGTATTTCATACTCATATGCTACTCTTGTGGTGTCATATTACTGTTGGGTGAAATGTTGTGAGACGTGAATTTGTACACTGCTGTTTTTGTTAAGAGAACTGAGACACACACACACAGCAGAACGGGAGGGGAAAGAAGGGTTGAATCAAAAAAGTTAGTGTCACGAGTAGTATTCGAACCCACGACCTTCGGCTCAATATACCGCTACTCTTACCACTTGACACGATAGCTCAAGCGGTAGAGCAGCGGCGTATTTAGCCGAAGGTCGTTGGTCGAATCCCGCTCGTGACACTGATTTTTTAATTTCAACCAATACCTTACATAAAGATTAATTAATTGAAAGAAGTTATTTGGTCAATCGGACCACGGAATATAATGGACTTTATTTTTATATTCCCTTTTCCTTTGTTATCGTCCTAAACAATTAACTTCCTTTCCAATATCGAATAACCCGAATAAAAAATCCAATCCAGAAAATCCCCATTCTAGACCTCCTTTGAGATAAACAAAACCGCCTATGATCAAAGAAAATTTCCCAGATTTACCGCTTTCCCCCCGTCACAATCATGTAAAAACAGCAGAATACTAATTCATGTTTCGCCATAATTTCACACAACACCAATATGACACCACAAGAATAGCACCTTATTTTATATAAGTATGAAATACTCGGTTCCAAGTTTATATTTACATCTGTGTTGTCATTTTTCCAATCAACATATGTTTTGTAATTCAACCAGGCCCTGAAGATGACCCGAATAAAGGTCAAAATTCGGAAAAAAATGAAAAAGCTGTTTTTCTAAACTACTTTATTCTTGCCCACTTCAAGACTCAAACAAAATTATTAAACAATCTGTCACTAAAAAACACACTTTTTTTGTTATGTCAAGCCATTTGTCTCTGATAAGTGTTAGGTGTATTGGGATGTTTTGGTAGACAATTTCACACAAAACCAATATGACACCACAAGAATAACATCTCTCTTTATGCCGAATAAAGGTCGTAACGTTGGCAATGAAAAAGGTGTTTTTTCTAAGCTACCTCATTCTTGACCGCTCCTTACCAACAAATTATTAAGTACTATTTGCAAGCATTACAATTTACAGTATTAAGTACAATGTAAAGGAGAAAAAATATTTTACAAAAAATTAAGAAAAACTGGCAGGTTGTAAGTTTTACAAGCACGGTCATAGTATCAACCCATTTTTTTTTTTTTTTTTAATATCAATTACAATTTGTTTTAATTTTTCCTAGAGTTTAAATAAATAAGCTGTACTAGAACAGCAGAGGCATTAATTCTAAGACTTGAGTCTAACTTTTTGCCAGATTATAAAAAATTTAATTCTCATTTAGAGCATAATAAACCAAAGAAAGGAGGAACGAGGAAGGCAAAATGGGAGTGGAGGAAATTAGTTGAGACAAAGAAAGCACTCATCCCGGCACCCTTGTCCACGGATCCCAGCGGGTAGTACTCTCCTCCCATAGTACTCCCTCATTTCCTCTCCACCCTCTCGGGAGGGAGAGGCGCTCCGCCACATTCCCCGTCCTCGTCTGACCATGCGCCCCGGGATGGAGACCGGTAGAAAGCTTACTTGTGGATCCGAACTCGGTGGTTTCACAACGGCAATCCTCCCTCTTCGACATCGTGCAACAAAAAATACAGAAGGTAGGACCGTTTGAAAAAATATCATTACAACGAATCCCAGCGATATTCTTTACGAGAGAATATTAAAAAAATTCTCATTTTAATAAATATGAAAAATTATTACCTTCTTATAAAAATCACAGAAATCAGAGGTGGAAAATGCTAAAGTGCAAAAAAATCAAAAGTAATATTTACAACTATATATTTCCAATCTATCCCTTCATTACGATATTTAAAAATTTTCTGTATAATTTATTTTCGCTGAACTCTCATTTTTTGACTAAATCTACATCTTTATAATTTAAGTTATGATACATTAAATAATGTATTAATATTAATGGCTTGGCAATGAATCATAGGAGGAAGGGCTGTTTGATAAAAAATATCTTCACAAATAAGATTTATTTATATGCAAATATATTCATCTCTTAAGATATTACAAAATGAAAAAAAAATTTACGATTAATGTCGTCATTAACCCATAATTTTATATTTCGAAATATATTTAACGTTAAAAAGTTTAAACTTTTATACATATATCTTGATGGTACAATCAATTAACGGTTAAATGTGCAAGAATCATGTATCGGTTTTGAAAATAATGCTGTTTTAAACTGACATTGTGATTAATGACATAGGAAGAAGGATAGTTCAAAATAAGATTATATATTGCAGAATATTCAACGTGAACCAACAAATATATAACAAATCATGATTGATAATATCAACTTTGATTGTAAACTATTGATATAAATTATGTAGGAAGTAGGATAATTAAATTAAAGATTATACATTGCAGACATAGAATGTGAAACAACTAAAATATAACAAATCAGAATTAATAGTATCAATTTTGATTGTAAATTATTAATATAAATCATACATGAGGTAGGATAGTTAAAAAAAGATTATAAATTGCAGGTATAGAATATGAAGCAACAAAAGTATAACAAATTAGAATTAATAGTATCAACTTTGATTGTAAATTATTAATATAAATCATACAGGAGGTAGGATAGTTAAAAAAGATTATATATTGCAGGTATAGAATATGAAGCAACAAAAATATAACAAATCAGAATTACTTTAATTGTAAACTATTCAAATTAATGACATAGGATAAAGTAGAGATAAAAGGATTATATATAGAATGTGAAGCAACAAAAATTTAACAAATCACGATGAATTATATTATTTCAACTTTAATTGTAAATTATTAATATAATTGACATAGGAAGTAGGATAGATAAAAAGATGTATTGCATATACAGAAGGTGAAGTAACAAAAATATAACAAATCAGGATTAATTATATCAATTTTAATTATAAAATATTAATATAAATGATATCGTAAGTAGGATAGTTAAAAAAAAAGATTATGTATTTTAGATGTAGAATATGAAGTAACAAAACATCAGGACTAACAATTAACTCTGATTGTAAACTATTTATATTTACAAGTATATAGCTCAAAATTTATTTTTTCTTCGCAAGTTATTAAATGTATAAAGATTACCTCTATATAATTTAGATTACTGTTTTTAAAATAATATATATTCCCTTTAACTGGTGTCCTTACAAAACGGGTAGGGCTATTGGAAAAATACCCATACAATGATTCGGACGATTTTTATTATGATATCTAATAAAGAAAAAAAAATTTCTTTACAATATTCAAAGCTCTTGCTTTAATATCTGAAGTAGTCAAATAGTAAACCTCTCACGAAATAAAGAATTGTTGAGGAAAAATACATGAAATCACAACCATCCCTGCTTATTAGCTATTGACATTTAAAGTTTAAATATTTCAAATACACCTTTCTTAAAAAATACTAGTTCAAATTACACTCAAACACATACATATAGAAAGTGGAGGGTTGATAAGACGTACGTTAGTCTTTATAAGAAAATTTTGAAAAACAAAACACTAAAATCGATTAAAAAACATAATAAATTATGATTCCGAAAATAAATCATCATTGATTATGAACTGTTAATATTTAAAATTTTCCAAATGTATTGAAAGCCATCGATTTTTGTATTTGAAAATTAAAATATCGTATACAAGAAAATAAACAAATGGAAAAAAAGGAAAAAAACATTGATTCTGTGAGGGAAGAGGTTTTAATCTTAAAAAATATTCATATTTTCAATAAAATTCTCATATAGTAGCTATAAATTGAATGCATAGAATAAAAATTGACGACTAATACATATACTTTAGCTTGTAAACTAGCGTAAATTCTTTATACCAATGCAATGTAAAGATAGTAAAAAAATAACATTATTCTTAGTATAATTTAAATATTAATTAGTAATTATATGCAATATTACTATAAGCAATTTGGTTTTTACATAATTTTCTTCAAAAATTATTTAGTAAAGAAGAACGGATTTATGGAATTTGGTGTGTTTTGTGTCGTGAATTCCCATCAAATGTTAAGATGTAAGATATAATATAGTATACCTATAGTACACATATGAGTCCTAGTTCATAAAAAAAATCGATTAGTAGGCCCGGTTTCAGTAATTGAATTTCTTCTACGGTTACGTGTACATCCTAAAACACTTCCTTCTGCAAATGTAGCTCCACAGTTTGTAAGTGTGTTCAATGCTCATTTAGTCTGCAGTGTCCTGTTAAGAATTCGTTAATAATTAGGATTCGAAGTTTTTCCTCCTTCCTTTAATGCATCCTGCTTTTTTTTCCTTCTAAAATTTCAATTGAAGCCTACTTTTCTTCCGTGTCCACAATCCAGTGCATGTGCCTTAGCCGGCAATGCCTTATCAGGAGGCCAACCATAATCCTGCTTCAGTTGCGGTTACCTTCCAGCAATTCCTTTGTAAGTCTTGCCGATCAATTACGGGAGACACACCGAGCATATTTTTTCGACATGCCGGAGAGATACGTGGGCTTTAGCTCAAAAGTAAGTGTCCGTGGGCCAACCTAGCAAGGCTTAATCTTAGTCGGATGAGTTTACCTTTTATACAATTCAAATCCTTCCAACAACACTTATCGACCGTGGTCTTGACGCGCAAGAGTTTCTCGGACCACCCAGCCTACGACCTTGCCACCTTTTCTATACCATATTATAAACGAAACAGCTTTCAGTACTACACACAATAAAACAATCCTGGTTTCTTAAAAAAATGGGAACAGGGGACCGAAATACTTGCTGCCGTGCTCAACCACTATCCGCTCCCTATGTGTAGTCAAGCAAGCTTCAATTTGGTGATATTTACGTTTTTATTTCTTTTTTATTATTTATGAAATATAGATATATTTCAAAAACCTGGCTGTATCTGTTCCACAATTAAAAAAAGTTAATTCAATTAGAAATGCAATGCCTTTATAGTTAAATACTCCGAAATGCATACAAGATATACAAGAAATAGTACATTATTAATTTCAAGTATAGCAAATAAAAATATTAAAATGAATATTAATATATTTTTGTTTTAATTGGTCCTATTAGCTAAATTAATTATTTAATTTTTTTTTCAAAGTTTGGTTGAGTTGAAAAATTAGTGTCTCGATCAGCATTGAACCTACTCCGGATGTCGAATTTTTCTACTCAACCTTACTTTGGATAAAAAATAATAAATCAATTGAATTAAAATGAGTATTTTATTTGTTTCATTAGTTTGGTTAAATTTGAAATAGTGTTTCATTTAAAATAAATTAAAACAAATAAGCCCAATAACGTTTTCTACATACAGACGATTATGTTTAAATTACGTTGCATTATTAGTAAACGTTAAAATATTTTATTTCAACAATGGTACTCGAATCATAAATTCGAAGAGAGGTTTTTAATAAGCTTTACAAGTGCTTTACACTCTTTGACAAATTAACTCTTAAAATATTAATTCAAATAAATACGACTTAGTAAATTTGAAACTTTTCTGTGTGTAGTAACACAGGAAGCATATTAGTATAATTAAAACTGCTAATAAATGTAAATTATGGTAAGTATAAGTAGCAGCATAACAATTTTATCATTAGCTAGTAGTTTAAGAAGAGTTAGCAAGATTTAGTGTTAACAAAATATGACTTATGTAGTTTAAAAGAATTTGATTTGTTTCCTTTTTGCAAAGTATCATCATTCCTGTCTGGTTTTATTATTTTAAGATGTTTAACAATAAAATTAGTGGGGTAATATGAAAAACCGCTGACACTTATAAATGGTGTAGAATTTAGAGCATAAGCACATTGTTCTGCGTTAATTATTAGAGAAAAATGTTGCTGATGCTAATATTCGCCTCAGAGGGATGAAAACGAATATTAAATGTAATGCTTGTTTTATGCAGGGTTCATAATGAATCTTGTTAAGCGGATACAACGGGTTTCGCAACTATTCATGAAGTTGCTCAAACAATCGAGCGGTCTCGAAATGTTGGTTTTTGGCGTTAACATGAAAACAACGCGTATTATTGTATTAATTTAAATGAAGAAAGTTGACGTGAGAATCAACTGGATTTTCACGAAGGAGTTATAAGATTTTCGCTCCGTTCTGAATAAAAATTTTGCCCCCCCCCCACGAAACTTACGAATACGTTAAGGTGTGGCAACTTCTTTGACATCGAAAGTTTTCCCACTTTGGACGGGGGAGAGAAAAAAGTTATTCTCTACGTTTGAAAAGACTTGGCGATTCAACGGCCGAATGGTAATTACGATCAATTTACCCTGGATTTTCACGTTTACTATGGCAATTGTTATGCTGATAATTGATCGTTGAATAATGGATGGTTCTGGGGCAGGAATCCATTCGCTGTGAATATTTCGGCGTTTGGCTTGGAGAACTGCTTCGGTGCTTCATAATTTTCTATTCATTTCCCGGCACAACAAAGAGGATTTTTCATTGGACAGCGTTTCTAATTGGTCGCCAAAAGGCGAATAGTCTGACATTAAACAAAGTTTTCTAACACAAAGAAATATTTAAAAAGCGACATTGAATATGTAATTGTTAAATTAAAACAATAATTCAAGATTACTGACATAAATCACGCCTAAATTAGTTATT